TAAAAGACAGATGCCACAGAAAGTAATCTGTGTTTATGAGGGCAGGTATTATCTTCGTCAGTAACAAATGAATTTCATATATCTAACCTCTCATCAACCATCGAGAATCACAAGAAACCTGCATATTATTACACATACATATATATTTTGTCTCTCTTTTTTTTTCTTCGTTTTTTTTTTCATTTGACAACACACCAGAGATTGACTTTCCAATCACTTGAACAATGTAAACGTTCGTCTTTGACAATAATTTCTACAAGGTCGTCCCTCTACCAGGTATACCCCATAACTTCCCAAATAATCTCATCTCTATGAACTCCATTGGCTAAAGTCCTAAGCACCACTTCTTTAATTTTCTTTGTTTATTCTTCTCTTTCTCCACAATTCCTGAAACAGCTCAATCACAGGGACCAACGCCTAAGATAATAAAAAATTAACAAAAAGCATCAACTTCTACATCATGTTAAACAAAACACGACCACACCCCAGACAGCAACACAAGCACTTGTTATACCAAAATGAACAGAAACATTACCTCCTTGAGAGCATCTTGATTCCAAAAGAGCTCATCTTCTTCGAGCTCCTCATCAACCAATTTTGTCAACCTATCACATAGTTATTAATTTCAATTTGATCTAATTATGCACAAAGGGATTTCTAGTGTGCAAATAATAGTTCACGTACCGTTTGCCCCTGGTGGCCCGAGAGGCACGATCAAGAAATGTGTGCTGCTCTGCCTCTTCTTTGCTGGTATCCATTGAGTATTACCCTACAAACCCACCCGTGTCCCCAGGTTTTGGGAGGAAGGAAAAACTTGGTCAAAATTCCTCTTAACAGTGATTTTTCCTCCACTCCAATTTTGGGAGGATCTGGCGGGGATGGAAAATATTAATGAGGAAAGAGAAGAAGAGGGAAAAGGCCCAACGTCTCCCGAGGCAGCGGAGGAGGATGACGACGGCGGTTCTTCACCGGATTATCGAAGGTCGCGGCAACAATGATGTCGGAAGCTAGGTGGTTAGATGGAGTGAGATGTGCCGGCGGCTGTTAATGGTACACTGTGGTTGAAGATTGCAGACGAAAGGCAATTGTTTCGGTTTTTTTAGCTGAAAATTAAAAAAAATAAAAATAAAGTGTGGGAACAAAAAAATAGAGGATAAAAATTAAAAACACGTACTTAGAGAATACGTATTACACGTATTTTAGTAAGGAAAACATATTCTCTAAATACGTGTTTGATTTTGTTCCACATCTTTTTTTTTTTTTGTTTTTTTTTGTCTACTTGTATTTTTATTATTTTTAATATAAGTGGATAAGTTAATTTAGACTCGTAAGTTAATTTTGATAAAAATTGATTTTGAGTTTAAATGAGATTTTGAACTTATATTAAAATAAAATTTAAAATATGATTTTTTTTTTTTGAGCTTAGTCCAACCAAGCGTGCAAACTAAAATGACGATATGAAGTACCGACTCTACCAATCGTAAAACAATTTTATAAGTGATAGTTCACTTTTCCCACTGAGGGTCTCGCTCAATTCTTCTCGAACACTGAGGGGGAGGGGGTTGAGCCATTGATTGTTTCTCTTCAAGATAAGGAACACACTGTAAACCGAACTCAACCTTTCAAAATCTTCACCTTCCAATGCTAATATTATCAACTGAAGTTGATTTGAAGTAAAAAAGTAGAAGAGATAACTGAAAGTCGCGGGGTAGATAAAATTTTATAAGTGAATAAATAGTTAATTAATACTATTGATTGATGTGTGAAGATAATTGATTGATATTACATAATTATATAGATAACATTGAGAAGAGTTGGGTTAAGTTAAATTTGAGTTGTATTTTGAATTAAAAAAAAAATATCTGGTTGGAAGTCTTTCATCTGTTTCCTTTGTGTTAATGGTGTTGCTTATGTGTTGATTAATAATGGAGCTTGTGACTCAAAAGTTAGACAAATTGTGGATGATATTCTTCTATTAGCTAAGGATGTATTTGGTGTGGAAGTGTGTTATTGTATATACTCAACTTTGGACGTGACAAAATTTTCAAAAATAAATTTTCAGCTCATTTCGACGTAACATTTTTTTTTCCTTCAAAAACGAACATCTATATACAATATAATGGATCAACCAAATGATTTAATTCGGTGTAATCATAAAAAAATACATTCATAAGTATTAAGACAATAGTACATAATCGTTCTGGCCCACAACATTTATGTTATTCCACCTTGATTTCTATTATTAAACAACAACACAAGCATCAGCAAATATCCTCATAACAAAGTAGAAGAGTGGGTAATAAAGCAAACTAGTAAGGGCTTACACATATGCCAATGATTTTGTAACAAACTATTGTCAATTTACTCAGGAAGCTCCACAAGCCTCGGCAGTTATTCATTCATTCAGATGATTCCCATAAGGAAGTTGCTTTTCCAGTCTTCGAGACAGCCTTTAGAACTGCTTCTGGCTCAACATTTCCTTTCACAGTGACTTTTTGCTTCTCGAAATCAATGTCGAATGATTCTACGCCTGCTCAGACAAAGAATATTGCAACTATTAACATTGCACTACCTTGCTAACAAGAAATACCATTATGGTAATACAACTCACAATGAGTGCATAATCAATCACTGAGACACAATTGCACTGCGCCCTATGGATATACCGAAATTTTGTGCAATAAAAATATATATTTAAATATATACATTACAACACTGTTGAAAAACGGTCAAATGCTGATACAAAGGAGATAAGGTTCCTGGTAATGAATAAATACTAATAATACATTCAGAAACTTGAAACCAAGACTAGTACACACACACACACACACACACACACACACATATATATATATATGATATTTCAATATATATCACGGATAAAAGCCCAACAGAGATACTGTATACATGGTCCATCAAGGAATGATTAAAACATAATCTCAGATTATATAGTTCACATTAATTGAAGTTCATGGAAAGATTGATGCTCAACTATGCTAATTGTCTAAAGGCAACTTGAATTACACATGCATGAATACATGATGATGATGAAAAGAAGATTTGTACTGATACATGGTTAAGGCAGAAACCTTCTGTCTTTCCAAGAACCCTCTTCACGGCCCCAACACAGCCTTGGCAAGACATAGCAACCTTGAGCTCAACAGTCTGCAATCAGGGACAAAGTTAAGAGCATGTTTGTTTACAAAATAATTCATTCACATTCGATTTCTACTCAAAATCTAACTCAACTTTAATCCAACCCCACTATCCTCAATAATATTATCAATATAATTAAATAATACAAACCAATCATTCTTGCACATCACATCAACTTTAATTCATTATTCATCCACTCACATAATTTTAACTAACTATCGCTTCACATCATTCCCTCCTACTTTTACATCAAAACAACTTTAATTATTTTATTTTAAATACTGTTTTAATATAAAATCAAAATCCCACAAACAAACAAACAGCTAACCATCCAACTTCTTCAAAAACTAACCTGGTTAATCGAAAAAAACTCATTTTGAGCGAAATTATTTATTTGTAAACAGGCACGCCCTAAGATACCAGAAAAAACTGTGCTAGGGCAGTCAATCCAAAGCCGTATATCACTATCTAGGAGCTTACAAATAACACATAGGAGTCTTAAATCACAACAATTTCAATCAGTTGTAGAGGAAACAATAATGTTTACAACCGAACAACGGAACAAAACATGCTTCAGATTTCAGCAGCAAGAAATTCATCAAACATCCCAGAAGGATGGATACCAATGTTTTTATTTCATAACAAGGGATTAGCTGCAAATTTATTAATATCACAAAGTTGACAGTAATCATGGTATCGTGTGTAAAGCAGATGATTGAAAATTTGTCAACTTAGGCAAGTGGCCCTTCTCTTGCTAGGATCTGTACTTGAATTAAAAGTCAAATGAATAAACATAATCAAACTCTTCACATAAAGAAAGCCAAAGCGATGCAAGAACTGAAAAACGGAATCGAATCCTACGCGTGAACTGAGCAAACTTGATTATCAGCCAAGAAAAAAAAGAAAAGAAAAAACTTGAGCTGTATATTCTCATAACCCCAAAATTCCCTCAAGCAAGGCACACAAGATCATCAATCAAGCAAGAGAACACATGAAACAAACACAAAGGTATCGTAAAATCACATGAAAAGGGATAAAGTTATACCTGAGACATGATTTGTTATAGCAGAGACGATTGTGATGATGATGATACGATAAAGTGGTGAATTTGGGAATGGCGATTGGAAGGGGGAAAGGAAAGTCGAAAATGAAATGCAATCCACGGGTGATTCACTCTAATTTTAGATTTTTTTTTTTTTTTTAGGTGCCATTGGGCCAATCAATTAGACCTATCTTCATGTAGGGTCATCAAAATATCTTTAAATAACTCAAAAGCGCTTGGATGAGATGGCTTAGGTCTCTTCCAGCTTAACCAGTGGTCTCGAGTTCGAGCCCTGAGAATACAACAGTGTTAAAACTCTTGAGGGAGAGCTTTGCTGCCCTTGTGGTCTTACCCGGCTCCATTCCGAATTAGTCGGTTCCCCTGTGAATTCAGAAACCGAAAGATCCCTGTACCAAAAAAAAAAATATATCTTTAAATAAAAATAAATCATAGCCTAGTATCAACTCATGACTAGCAAAAATATTTTCGTTTATTGGCATTAGTAAGAGGAATATATTTTATTCCACTAACTTATCAGCTAATTCAGAGATATAATTTAATCATTCAAACTATTCTTTTTAGTCATCAGTCATAAATTATCAACTATAAACTTCAAATTTATTTATAATGCGTGTTTGATAAATCTAGTTGAAAACCAAGATAATAAATGATAAGTTGGCTAATAGCTTATACGTAACTTTCGAGCTTATTACTGATAGTTTGTAGCTGATGGATAAAAATCTAGTCTAGCTCATATAATATGATTGTTTGATAAAATTAACTCATAAGTATGTTGAAATGAAAACTTTAAAAAGTGTTTATTTTAAGAAAAAAAGCTACCCTATCAATTTCTTTATCAAATATAGGTTTATCAAACACCATGAAACCAATCTTTTAATTATTGTTGTCCCTATTTTTTTAATTCTTTTTAATTACTGTTCAAACCTTCCTAATAAAATTTAATGACCAGTACAGCAGTAGTGTATTACACTGTTGTTACTTGAAAATTTTTTGCATAGGAAATAAATAATAGACAATGTTATTATATATTTTCAAATACTTCCTAAAAAATTGTATTTTCTTAGTTAAAATGATACTTATTATAATGTAAAACTCAATTACACTATATTATAAAACTATTTCTTGAGAGCCATATTTTCTTACAGCTCCTTCACGATGTTTATTGCCATAGGAAATTTTATTGGAATCTTATTTCAAGCTATATTTCAATCATTAGAAATATTTGCGGTTGGAATAAACAAAATCAAACGAAAATTGCAATAGAAAACTTATTTCAACTGAATATCTTTATTAGAATTTCCATCAGAGTATCTTAGATAATTCCATCAAAGAAATTAACATTGAATTATCGTTTGAATTCCACGAATATATTTTCACTAAAATTTCATCATTTTATTGTATTGTGTGCGGTACCACGAAGTCGAATACTATATGATGCTAGAAAAAAAAAACAATCGAATCAGCAGATGTTTATATTAAACCAGAGATGAATAAAAGCATCAAACAAATTAATACAATAGATGATCTTAACAGACTGAAAAAACACACAATTCTTAATGAGTTGCAGTTGATAAAATTTGCGATCGATCTTCAATATCTTAATCCAAAATCAAGTGAAAAATCACACGATACACATGAAGCGTCGACTCTACGTTTGAGAGTCTAAGGCCAAAATGGTGCTGAGATTCATAGGGTTCATGTAGTCCAATGAGCCTGACATTATTTGTTGAACAATAAGTCTATTGGCCCTTTCAGAAGGATGGAAGGGATCCCAAAAGGCATAAATATCTCTGTTAGGGCACAAATTGGACAGTTGTGTGCAAAGTCCAAGTCCATTGTAAGGTCCTTGCCCACAACATGCTACCTTTGATGTAACAAATCCTGCAATATTAAAACCATCAAATTGTTATTGCACTTTTTATTTTGACATAATTCATGCAGTAGTAATAATATTATGTATTGAAGGTACCAAAGTCTTGAGGATTGTTGATAAAATCATAATGCGTAATTTGTGTATTTGCGGCAATAAAGACATTATCTCCGAGTTCGCTATTGAGGCCTAGC